TAAAAAAATGGTAATGACTTTTGCCTCTAGAGATGGCAACTCAAGCTGAAGGGTGCGCTGCCCCCTTAGAGCGTCTGTACGTTTGCAGTGTGTAAACTTTAGAAACTGAAAAAAACAATTTAAACAGAAAAACAAAGATCTATGCTCCAATTCTTCTAACTACTCTTCAATCACGTTATTGTCCTTTCCTTACACATAATAAGACTTTTTTCCATTGTTGGATCAGTTTGCTCTGTTTGACTTTGACTTACTGCCAAAAAATGGATTGCCCTGTTTGGATAATAAATAACCAGAACCTGTTTTCTCACTAAGGGTTTCAATACTAAATGCTGTGGGTCATTTTTTTCCTCCTTTGCAAAACCTCTCACAGTGCTGCTATTAAAGCTGGAACAGTGGGGTTTGACCTTGCTTTCACTTAGGCGAAGGTATATTCATAGACAAGCCTTGAAATTAAGATGAAAGTGTTTAACCACCATGGTCACAGACCAGGCGTCAGTCAAGGGCTGGATCATTCTGATCATTCACACGAATTCACCTAGAAAAGCAGGCAAGTCTAGTCCTCTCCTCCATGGTCAACTAGTCTTCAACTTTTCTTTTTTTTTTTCCCAGTTTCCACTAACATAAACTGACTCGTTCCTAAGTTCGACTTTGCACAGAGAAAAACAGTAGACGACTGGCCCAGTCTCTAACTCTGCATGTAAAACATCCGCTTAGGCCGCCTCAGCTTTAGCTCAGCAGATCGTTCCCATGGTTACCCGTATTCCTGTACACGTCTGGGCACCGACTGAAGACGGTGGTTGTGTGCCCAACGTTAATGGGGGGGCGGTGAGGGCTCTGGGGAAGGGGCGACGGACGTGACACAATGAAGTTAATGCCCTGGTGGCGCCCGGGAGCGTCCTTGGCACCCAGAGCCGTGTGTACAACAGCCATAGGAGGAGGTAAAGCATCCACTATGCTTCATGGAAGGTTAAAAGCATTAGAAGTGAGGAGGATCTGGCCTGAAAACGCTGAGAAACGTTAGAAGAATCGTTATGAGCTCAGCGAAGAGGACAATAGAATAAGACCAAACTCCGAGATGAGGGAGACAGAGGGCCCGAAGGAAGGAAAGACATACCAAGTGTGAAAAATCAGAAGGTCCAAGTCACCATAGAGCCAGCAGGAAGCCGCGCCAGCGCTGTGAGACTGTCATTCAAAGCATGGCGGGACAAGGTAGCTGTGCCGTAGAGCAGCCACCGTAAGCGTCGCCACGATGGGAACGTGAACTGGCCTGTCTGAGGCGCAGTTCTGAGGGATGGCACCAGAAGCAGAAAAGCAAAAGGAAACACACGACCATTAGGGGGGTGGCCAACAGCGTGGCTCTCAAGGCGGTCGTGCCAGTGGGCCAGCCCGGCTCCCGCATGCAGGTGACGGTTTACCATGGCCGGCATGTTCCTGTGACAAAGCCGCTCTGTTTGCCACATGCGTGGAGCATGCGTTCAAGAAAGGCGTTTTCTTGTGTGTGTAGTCTTTGTCTATTGATCATGAGCCAGCCACAGAGACAGATTTTTTGAATAGGGATTGAAAAGACTACTGGGTATAGACAACTGTGTGTGGGGGGGGTAGTGGTGGTGGAAGGTTTATACATAACCAGTGCGCGGCATGGAAGATGCAGAGAAACGCCCTCTCAGTCATTGCTCATGGCATGAACATGACAACAGCGTCAGCCTTCTGACTGGCAGTTGGCAATTTTTATTGAAATCTTAAATATGCATACCCTATGACCTAGCGCTCCACCTCCAGAAATTTATTCTGGGACCGGCAGATGGCATCGTGATTACATCACTGGATTCCCACATGGCCGACTACAGTTCAAGTCCCAGACCCGGAGGTTTGAAATTCATGCCGGGTGTGTGCATGCATGCCCCAAATTCTGAAAGAAGAATGGAGGAGAAGAGATTGTGGCGTGGCCATCCCACCTGGGAGGTGATTTCACACTTTCTGTCTCTCTGTCTCTCCTGTGAGCACATGCGCCCTAGAGCAAAAATCTCTCTCTAAAAAAAGAAATGTATTCGAAAAGGCTAGGGGGCAACACCTCAAACATAAACACGTCTCGGTCACAGTAGGAAAGCACTCGAAAGCACCAGTAGTGATGAGAAGATACATGCGACAGATCGCTGAATGAAACGAGTATGGGTTCCGTCACACTTAGGGAAAAATGTATGTGTGCATGTTTGTACGTGTGTGCGTGGTGTGTGTGTGCAGATGTAAGTGTCCAAAAAGATGTCTAAGAGGACGTCCTCGAAGATGTTAACAGTGATTCCTTTGAGGAGTCGCGCCTCTGAACCTTTTTGTGTTCTGGTTTATGTCTGTCCGTGTTGTCTGAATGGCTCATGAGGACCACGGACAAGCCGAATGTGAGATAATCCCCCTGAGCGCCGGCTCCCGCATGCAGGTGACGGTTTACCATGGCCGGCATGTTCCTGTGACAAAGCCGCTCTGTTTGCCACATGCGTGGAGCATGCGTTCAAGAAAGGCGTTTTCTTGTGTGTGTAGTCTTTGTCTATTGATCATGAGCCAGCCACAGAGACAGATTTTTTGAATAGGGATTGAAAAGACTACTGGGTATAGACAACTGTGTGTGGGGGGGGTAGTGGTGGTGGAAGGTTTATACATAACCAGTGCGCGGCATGGAAGATGCAGAGAAACGCCCTCTCAGTCATTGCTCATGGCATGAACATGACAACAGCGTCAGCCTTCTGACTGGCAGTTGGCAATTTTTATTGAAATCTTAAATATGCATACCCTATGACCTAGCGCTCCACCTCCAGAAATTTATTCTGGGACCGGCAGATGGCATCGTGATTACATCACTGGATTCCCACATGGCCGACTACAGTTCAAGTCCCAGACCCGGAGGTTTGAAATTCATGCCGGGTGTGTGCATGCATGCCCCAAATTCTGAAAGAAGAATGGAGGAGAAGAGATTGTGGCGTGGCCATCCCACCTGGGAGGTGATTTCACACTTTCTGTCTCTCTGTCTCTCCTGTGAGCACATGCGCCCTAGAGCAAAAATCTCTCTCTAAAAAAAGAAATGTATTCGAAAAGGCTAGGGGGCAACACCTCAAACATAAACACGTCTCGGTCACAGTAGGAAAGCACTCGAAAGCACCAGTAGTGATGAGAAGATACATGCGACAGATCGCTGAATGAAACGAGTATGGGTTCCGTCACACTTAGGGAAAAATGTATGTGTGCATGTTTGTACGTGTGTGCGTGGTGTGTGTGTGCAGATGTAAGTGTCCAAAAAGATGTCTAAGAGGACGTCCTCGAAGATGTTAACAGTGATTCCTTTGAGGAGTCGCGCCTCTGAACCTTTTTGTGTTCTGGTTTATGTCTGTCCGTGTTGTCTGAATGGCTCATGAGGACCACGGACAAGCCGAATGTGAGATAATCCCCCTGAGAGCCTTTGCCCTGGTCTCTGCTCGGCCTGGGCTGTTCTGCCACCTCCTCCAGCCTCTTCTCGCAGGGCCCCACTGAAAAGTATTTGTCTAGTGTGCCATCAGCGCCTCCCTCTGTCCCCAGGCTCCATCCATTCCCTGCTTTGGTTTTCTCTGCTGTACTTAACGCCATCTAATATATTTTCCTTTTTATGTATTACTAATGTATTTGCTTCGTTTTTCTTTCATTTACTTCATTTTGTATTTTATTCTATTTATGAATCGATTACTTATTATTATTTACTTACTTCCTTCATTAGAAAGTAAACCCAAGGACCAGCAATTAGCGTAATGGCTATGTCGCTGGACTCCTATGTAGTTGACGGTGGTTCGAGGCCTGGACCCGGTGGCTTAAACTCATGCCAGGCACATGTGCATGCGTGCCCAAGATCCCGAGAGGAGAATGGAGGAGAAGGGATTGTGGCATGGCCATCCCCCCTGGGGGTTGGTTTCTCGCTTTCTGTCTCTCTGTCTCTGTCCTTCTGGTGAGTGCATGGGACCTATAGCAAAAAAAAAAAAAAAAAAAAGAAAGAAAGAAAGAAAGAAAGTAAACCCACAAGGGCAAACCTTGGTCTTGCAATAAACCATAACCCAATGCTAACGGCAACCTCCACCACGTAGCAGGCCCTACTAATCATGTGTCAAGGAGTGACAAAACCGTGCGTCTCTGTGTGTGCCTGCCGAACAGCCTTCTGAATGCTCTCATTCCCTCCAAAGGCTTTGATGAAAAGGGAGAATGATTAGCTTATAAACACTTCAAGTTTTATCTGGGGCCAGCCCTGCCAAAGAGAAATTGCTTTTGTATTCATGTTAATTTCTATGTCAAATTTTCTTAGAAAAATAGTCATGAGTTTAATTAAGCTTTCAATGTGTGCATGGGGTGGGGCATGTATTTTTCTCTTCTAAATCCACAATTATCCTTGAACCAAATTAAGTGACTTATTCCTAGCTGGCTGAAAACCTGTTGCTCAAATTTTGTTACTATGGTTATCCAAGAAAAAATACATTAGAAATCTTAAAGTAAGGACCAGCAGATGGTGAAATGGTTACATTACTGGACTCCCACATAGTTGACTATGGTTCAAGTCCCAGACCCAGCGACTTAAAACTCATGCCTGGCATGGGTGCGTGTGTGCCCAAGATCCTGAGAGGAGAATAGAGGAGAGGGGATTGCCTCATGGCCATCCCCCGAGGGTGGTTTCTCACTTTCTGTCTCTCTGTTTCTATCTCAACACATGCCTTATAGCAAAAATCTCTCTTAAAAAACAAAAGTTTAAAGTGACAAAAACTTCGACTTCCTTTTACCCCATACTTTAGAAGAGTGTCCTTGGCCAAGTGGAGGGACACGTGTCCCTGTGCTGGCACAGGAAGGATGAGTCTGGGGACACAATGCACGAACCCAAGCCTGGAGACTGTGGGGCGAAGGCTCATCACCTCCTGGCACCCTCAGGGTCATGGTGCTGGCGATCTTAGAATGGGGGAGAAAGCATGGAAAACGGGGAACCGTCTGCAAGCTGCGCTTACCTGCTTCTCTCTCAGGGGCCGGACCACTTCCCTGACGCACAGCTCTAAGTCGTTGAGGTAGTCCCGCTCCGTCTGGATCAGCTCCGCCATGATTCGCGCCCTCTTCGCCATCACCCTCCTCAGCTGGTGCTCGGTCTCCAGGGCAGGCCCCTGAGCTGCAGAGCCCTCGGCCTGCGGAGCCATCTTTTCTGTGAAAGGGAAACACGTCCAGGTGAGGACTCTGCTGAGGGCGCGGCACTACTGCTGACCGAGAGGAAGGAGGGGTCTGCAGGGTGTGTTCTCAGAAGCCACCCGTGTCAGTTTCCCTGAGGTCAGAATTCTGCAAGACTACAAGCAGGAAAGGAGAGAGAATGAACCGCGTCTAGTCGGTCAGATGGTGCTAAGTGTCGGGGCTCCTCGCGAACACCCGTGGCTGGTATCTTAAGCTGTCAACTCGCCTTCGGGCTGGAGGTGGAAGACGTGAGGACACAGTTCAGAACTTCCGGACATGTTTGCGTTTAGATGGGTGGAAGACTTTTAATCCATAAGTGAAACACCTTCCAATGTCATCATTCTTAAAAAGAATCCCCCCTCTTTCTTGCTTTAATAGTTTTTTTTTTAAAGGTCTTTGCCACAGGGTGCATGTGCTCACTGGAGAAAGATAGTGAGAGAAAGCGAGAAATGACCCCCCAAGAGGGTTGGCCGTTCCTTCTCCTCCTCCCTCCTTCCGGGACTTCGGGCAGCACACATGCACCTTGCATGATTTTCAAGCTGGCAGGTCCGGGACCCAAACTGCAGTCGGCCATGTGGGAGTCTTGCACCTTAGCCACCGTGCCACCTGCTGCCCCCTCATACTTGGTGGGTAATACCCAAACCTCAATGAAATGGAACACAATTGCACACAGTTGGGCTGTTCTTTTCCATTCCTAATCAGAACCCATGAGGAGCGAAGCAGCCATGGATTAAACACATTTCAACTGCGATTTTCGTGACTCGTCTTCAGTTCTATGTGTATCTTATTATTTCAGAACTCGAACCGCAAGACAGAAAGTTCTAATTAAAAAAACAAAAATTCCCGTCCCAAGATGATATTGAGATAAATGGGAAGTCTGACACATGGCCAAGGTTTTATGTGAATTATGAAGGTAAGAAAGCTAAATATCTTCAAGGATGACCAATGCAAAAATTTGGAAGCCACAACCAGGCCACAAAATCAGAGCGGGAATTGATGTGGAGAGAGTGTGTGTGTAAATGGATGCACTTCGAGCTTGAGGCTTAAGTTTCATCTTTGTTTCTGCAGTCGCAGAAGTCATTTTAAGTTAAGACAGCTTTAGCAACTACTATGTAAATCTTCACTACTGGCCCCCCTTCCCGAGCCTGTAACAGGAGGGAAAATGGACAGGTCCTAGTGTATGCAAGGGGGTAAAGGGAGGGTGTTCTCGGGTGATGGCAGAGACAAAGCTGGCCCTGGGAGAGGTTCTGGTGAAGGAGCTAATGGCTCCTTGTGCAGAGACTGCCCTGGGAGAGGTTCTGGTTCTGGGGCAGAGCTAACGGCTCAGCATGCAGAGACTGCCCTGGGAGAAGTTCTGGGGCAGAGCTAATGGCTCCGTGTGCAGAGACTGCCCTGGGAGAGGTTCTGGTTCTGGGGCAGAGCTAACGGCTCCGTGTGCAGGACGCCCTGGGAGAGGGTCTTGCAGACTGCCCTGGGAGAGGTTCTGGGGCAGAGCTAACGGCTCAGTGTGCAGAGACTGCCCTGGGAGAGGTTCTGGGGCAGAGCTAACAGCTCCGTGTGCAGAGACTGCCTGGTTAACAGTTAACACAAAGGGACACTTCCGAATGTCACACACACTTTCTCCCTGGCCGCAAAGGTCAGGAGTCCAGGCAGAGGCCCAGTAGCCAACATCTATGGAGAATGCGGCCGAGGTGACTCTGATGACAGATTGGAAGTTGTCCTAGACAGATCCCTGGACAATCTCGACTTTCCGGCGAATACATTCCTGGGCCGTTGGCCCGGGGCTGACTCTTCCTCCATTAGGAGGGAAGGTGGTTTGACGAATGTCATCTAAAAGGAGGTGGGTTTACAAGATGTGGGCCACTTGGTACCCCAGAAATAATCCACAGGAGCTCCGTAAGAACAGAGAGTCTTTACCGGGGAGAGAAGGAAAGCTTGAAGTCTTCACAGCCTCCGCATTCTGCTGTGTGCTAGGAGAGCTCGGGGCTGCTTGCTGATTTGTAGTATTTTCATGGGAGAGTAGGAGCCTGCCTCTCACTGCACGAGATTTGTCAGGAGGAGTTACAATCAGGGGCCATGACTATGAATTGGGACCAGCAGATGGCGTAGCACTTATGTCCCTGGACTCCCATGTGGCCCACTGAGGTCTGAGTTCTGGATAGGTGGCTCCAGACTCACGCCGGGCATGTGTGCATGCATGCCCAAGATCCTAGCAGGAGAGTGGAGGAAGGAGAAGGGACTGCAGCCTGGGGGGTTACTCCTCTCTTTTCCTCTCACTGTCTCTGTCTCTCTCTGGTGAGCACACATGCCCTAAAGCATAAACCTCTCAAAGAAAAAAAAATGTTGGCTCTTAAATGGGGGAGGCAAGCTTCCTGCGAGGGCCGATGCGGTGAACGGGCTGTGTTCACAGCCGTGGTGTGCAGCGTAATATTTCTACGTACGTATACGCAGCGAGATGATCCGACGGAGGCTGGGAGACTGAGGTCGGGGTGGACTGACGGGGTGTGTGAGAAAGACCACAGGAGGACAGCACCCCGAGAGCTGACACACCTGTCGGGAGAGTGTTCGATTCTTACTTCATAGTGGCCTGAAAAGCTGTTATGATCAATGTTCGATTTTTCAAGTTCTAAACCTTCAGCAATAACCCATCAATTATTTGAGAGAGTAAAAAAGAAGAGATTTTTCCCTGATGGTTCTTTAAAAACAAAAAACAAACAAAAAAACCCTGATTGTGTGTATGTGCATGTGTGTGTAAGAAGGAATATGTGTGCACATGAAAAGGGGGGGAACGGGAGGAAGCACCCCAGCGGGGTCTAGCCACGCTGCAATCCTCTCCCCTCCAACTCTCCGTCCTGGTGACCCTGGGGTACCTGCACACCCTCTGGGACAGGCACTTGAACTCTGGTCAGCCTTGTGGGATATGACTCGCCGCGTCTGGTGTTTAATGGAGGTGTTGTGGAGCCAGCCCCTGTCCTGACCTTGGGCAAAGAAATATCTCCAGAAACACTCTCAGGTTCCTCTTGGCTCTACTTTCCAGGATTTAGTTACTAGGTCACTTGATCCCTTTCACAGATGTGGCAGTCCTGCTCTGTACAACACACACAGAAGCTGGCCATCAAAAATGCCTAGATTTTCTCAGACGGTTCACCGATCTGAACGAGTCGAACCTATCTGGGGGCAAAGGTGACTGAAATCAAGTGTCAGTCAAGTGATTCAGCTTCCAAACCTTCTCCCTGTAGGCTTAAGAACCTTCTCAGGGAAGGGATTGCAGTGGCCATCCCCCCTGGGGGGTGATTTCTCGCTTTCTGTCTCTCTGTCTCTGTCTGTCTGGCGAGCGCACGCGCCAGGGAAATAGGAGTTAAGCAACTCTATATCTTTATCTGCTCTTTGGCTCACATTCATGGCCAGAACAAAGACTTTCATAGTCAGGTCTCTAAACACCTCTTCTGTTTGCATCTCTTAAACCAGCTCACTCTGAGGTAAGTTAGGGACAGAAGTGTGGCTTCTGTGATGACCTTTCTCTGCCTTCAAAACTCCGACCTTTTGGTCACACTAAGTTTTTACGAGTGGAGGTATTTGTAAAACAGCATTACCAAGCCATACCACCCGAGTCACCAGTCAGCCAGAACTTTTTTTTAAACAATTTCTGATAAAGCAACAGGGAAGCTGTGTTTAAAACAGAATGGAAAAATAGAGCTTTAGGAATTAATATTTACCCATATTTGACAAAACTTAAAAGGCTGTGTCAAAACTGAAGTGAAACTGAGGTTAAAAAGACATTTAGACCAGAATATTCCACTGTGTCTGAAAACAGTACCATGTAACTGACTCTACCCTGTCCTGCCCGCCTGCCCTCAATTTCTTCCATTCTAAGCTTTACTTTTCCAGCAGTAATGATGAATTTTCACTATTCTAGCCACAAATTCCATTGGTAACATATGTTGAGACTCCTGGCCAAGGAAATTTATGTAAAAGGAGGTTATTGTGGTTTGGGGAAAGAATAATTTGTTTTAAGATCAGTTCTGCCTCGGGGGCCGGCAGGTGGCATGGTGGTTAAGGGTGCTGGACTCCCACATGGCCAACTATGGTTCGAGTCCTGGACCTGGAGGCTTGCTTTCTCACTTTCCCTCTCTCTTTCTCTCTCTCGCTCTGTCCCTCTCTGGTCAAATTAAAAACAAAAACAAAACAGAAAGATCAGTTTTGCCATTCCTGGCCAAGAGAATGTGGGGACAAACCAGTCACCCTCACAGGCCTCAGTTCTCCCATCTGTAAGTGAAGAGCAGAAGCCCTAGAGGTTTACCCTAAAGAAGAATTAAAGGAGCATAGCTCCCTGGGATCTTTTTTTTCCCCTCAGTTTTTGCTATAGGTTGTGCGTGCTTGTAGGGGAGATACAGAGAGAGACTAAGAGAAAGAGGGAGAGACAGAAAGTGAGAAATCACCCCTGGGGATGGCCATGCTGCAATCCCTTCTCCTCCATTCTCCTCTTGGGATGTTGGGCACACACGCACACGTGCCTGGAGTATTTGTTCAAGCTTCCAGATTCAGGACTCGAACCAGCAACTTCTGTATGTTGGCTTTTTCTCCTGTTACTTTCATGTATTCATCTATTAGTTCTGACAGTTTTTTTTAAAAGAATTATTTATGTAATTTTATTAATTAATTCACTTATTTTAATTTGACCAGAGAGACACACAGACACAGGGAGAGAGAGAGAGAAAGCAAGCCACCAGGACCTGAGCCATGGTTGGCCATGTGGGAGTGTCCAGCACCTTGCCACCACGCCACCTGCTGGGCCCAAGTTCTGGCAGTTTTTAAAGCAATATTTAGAGTGTTCCACATGTAAGAACATATTACCTACAAAAAGAGATCATTTTACTTATTCTTTTGCAATTCAGAAGTATTTTATTTCTCTTTCTTGTCTCATTACTCTGGACAGAACATCCAGAAATGATTTGGTAAAGTTGCCAAAACACTCTT